TGTAGGCAGGACATGTCATCAGAATGCCCAACTTGAGGCTTCCCAAACAGGTGTTCTACCCAGAGCTGAGCCAGGAGTCCATTCACACAAGAGCCAAATGAAATAAAGCCTCCATATAATTCTCCTATTAACATTAGCACAAAAACAGCAGATGCCTAATCATGACCAAATTGGCTCATCATTAAAAGGCCTTCCAGTCAACAAGAGGAGCCACTGAGCGAGACTGGTGAGACAGCCAGGAAGAGGCGGCTCAAGCAGCTTTCTTTCAAAACAACAAACCACCAGTACCACCTCCACCAGCAGCTTCCCTCACAGAGAGGCTGTAAGGAATCATTACCACCTGTGAATGCAAAGCCAACACTCCCAGCCAATTCAACAGAAAATAATCCGACATAAATGACTGCCTGTGATGATAAACAAATGCCATAGAGCTCAGAAAGGCCAATCTCACCCCTCACTAAACATGAGAGATTCAAGAACAAACTTACCAGGCTTACACATTGGACAGCAGATGCCCTGATGTTCATACTCCTTTTCACCACACCGATTGTGATGGCTGGAGCACATTACATACCTTGCAACCTGTACAGGTTAATTAAAAGCAACTGATGAACATTTCAGCCAGATATTCGTGCTAAAATTACAAGTGCAGCATGATCATATAGTGGGGTGGCATTGCACAGCCCAGGGTCACAAACAGTGCTGAGAGACAATCCCATAATATGCCACTCCCCACCCAATTATTCATAACCATTACTATCCCACCAAGTCTAATCCCACTCTCCCCCTCACTCCCTACATTAATGAGACAGGGAGCACACAGATTGTAAAGTATGCAGCTGACATTTCTTTTATTTTCCAAGAATAATATAAACATAGAATGTAGGAACAGGATTAGGCCAATCGACTCCTTGAGTTTGCTCCACCATTCATATGATTATGGATGATCATTGAGCTCAACACCCTAGTACCTCCCTCCTCTCCATATCCCTTGATCCCTTTAGCCACAAAAGCTATACTTATCTCCTTGAAAACAATGTTTTGGCCTCTGCCACTTTGTGGCAGTGAATTCCACAGGCACAACACACTCTTGGGCGAAGAAATTTCTCATCAGTCCAAGAAGGCTTACCTCTTATCCCTAAGCTATGAATCCTGGTTGTGCAGTTTCCCACTATCAAGATCATCCTTCCTGTATCTAACCTGTCTAGTCCTGTTAGCATTTTAAAAGTTTCTATGAGATTCCCCCCTCATTCTACTAAACTCCAGTGAATACAGTCCTAATTGAGTCAATCTCTCCTCATACATCAGTCCTGCCATCCCAGGAATCAACTTCCAGTTGTGTTCTCACCAATGCCCTGTATAATTACAGCAAGGCATCCATGTCCCTGTACTCAAATCCTCTCAACATGAAGGCCAACATACACAGTTTGCTTTCTTTACTGCCTGCTGCACCTGCATGCTTACTTTCAGTGACATCCTGCCATAGGGAGGCTATTACTAAAAATTGGAGAGGGTTCAGAAAAGATTTATCAAGATGTTGCTGGGACTGGAGGGCTTGGGTTATAAAGAGGCGGCTGGATAGGCTGGGATGTTTTTTTTCCCACCCCATAGAACATGGGAGATTGAGGGGCGACCTTATAGAGGTTTATAAAAATCATGAAGGGCATAGATAAGGTGAATAGCAAGGATCGTTTACCAGGATGGGTGGGCAGGGGTTCAAGACTAGGGGGCTATTTTTAAGGAGAAAAGAAAATTTTGAAAAGGACATGAGGGGTAAGATTTTTTTTTAAAAAAAAAAAAGAAGGGTGGTACATGTGTGGAATGAACTGCCAGAGGAAGTGGTCGATGCAGGTACAGTTACATTTAAAAGACAAACTGACAGATCCACAAATAGGAAAGGTTTGGCAGGATATGGGCCAAACACAGGCAAGTGTGACTAGTCTAATTTGGGAACATGGTTAGTGTGGACTAGTTGGACCAAAGGATCTGTTCCCATGATGTATGACTGTGACTGGTGCACAAGGACTCTCAGGTCTCGTTAAACATTTCCCCCACTCAATTTGCAGCCAAACAATAATTTGCCTTCCCATTTGTTACCAAAGTGGATAACCTCACATTTATCCACATTATACTCCATCTACAGGCATTTGATCACTTACTTAGCCTGTCCAAGTCACAATGCAACATCTTTGCATCCTCCTCATTGCTCACCTTTCCACCCAGCTTTGTGCTATCAAATTGAGATATTTCATTGAGTTCCCTCGTCTAAATTATTAATATATTGCAAAGAGCTGGGGTCCTATTATTGATGCAACATCCCACTGGTCACCACCTGCCATTCAGAAAAAGACGATTTATTCCTACTCTTTTCCTGTCTGCTAACCAATTTCCCCCCCCCCCCCCAATTCCATACACACTAATTTTACACATTAATCTCTGATGTGGGAAAGACTTTGTTGAAAGTCTTCTGAAAGTCCAAATAAACCACATCCACTGGTTCCCCCAATCAACTCTGGTAGTTATATCCTTGAAGCATTCCAATAAATTTGTCAAGCATGAGTTCCCTTTTGTAAATCTATGCTGGTTGTGTCTGATTCTACCACTAAGTGCTCTGCTATAAAAATCCTTGATAATGGACTCTAGCACCTTCATCACTACAGATTTCAGACTCGTTGGTCTATAATTCCCTGGTTTTCCCTCAACCTCCCCTTTTTAAGATAGTAGGGTTACATTAACTACCCCCCAAAAGTGTAGGAACTGTTCCAGAGTCTAAAGAATCTTGGAAGATGACCACCAATGCATCCACTATTTCTAGGGTCTCTTAAGAACTCTGGGATGTAGATTATCATGGGGATAATCTGGGGATTTATCAGCTTTCAATTCCATCAATTTCTCCACTAATACGGATTTGCTCCAGTTCCTGCCCTTCACTAAACCCAGTATTCCCCATAATTTCTGGTACGTTATTGTACCCTCCTTTGTGAAGGCAGAGCAAAGTATCAATTTAGTTTGTTGTGCATCTTTGTTCCCCATTATAAATATCCCCATTTGACCATAAAGGGATCTAAATTACTTTTCAATTTTTTTTTCTCCTCACACACCTCAACTTTTACAAGTCAGTTCTTATGTTCCCCATGAGCTTACTCAGACGATTTTCCCTTTCTTAACTAATCCCTTGGTCCTCCTTTGCCAACTCCTACATTGTTCCCGAGCCTCAAATCTACTTTAACACACCACCCTGTTCCCTGGCCAACATTTCTGTCTCTGGCTTGCTGCAGTGTTCCAGTGAAGCCCAACACAACCTGGAGGAACACCACCTCATTTTCCTCTTGGGGACCCTACAGCCCTTGGGACTCAATATAGAGTTCAATAATTTTAGGGCCTAAACTCTCCCATGTCCCAGCCCCCAACCCCACACACCAGGCCTTATCACATAGTCACTAACAGTCCCCATTAACAACTATTCACCCACCCAGCCTGATCATTAGAACTCCTTTGTCTGTCCAACTGTCTTTCTCTCACTGTGGGCTCTATCATTTACTCTCTACTCCACCCAACTCCCTATGTTCTGCACATAAACCGACATTTTCCCAGCCACCATCAGTTCTGATGAAGGGTCACCAGACCCGAAACACTAACTGTTTTCTCCTTCACAGATGCTGCCAGACCTGCTGAGCATTTCCAGCAACTTTGTTTTTGTTCCTCAAATCTATTTTTTATTCCAATTTGGATACCTCTTTTATACATCTAATGCTATCTCTAATTTCACTCATAAACCATGGTTTGACCAGTAGTCTCTTTGCACTCTTGCACAAGACAGGATTAAATAATTTTTGCTGTTCACCCATTTGCTCTTTGAATGTTTGCCGTTTGCCCATCCACTGTCATTCCTTTCAGTAACATTTCACAATCCATCATAGCCAACTCACACCTCATAGCATTGCAGTTTCCCTTAAAGATTCAGGACCCCAGTCTCAGAATCAACTACCTCACTCTCCATTTTGATGAAGAACTCTATCATATCACGGCTGCTCACAAGTAATTAAGGGCCTCTCACAAAGACATTACACCTTTTTTGTTATACAATACCCATCTAAGATGGTCTGTTTTCTAGTTGGTTCCTCAATTTTAGGTCCAGAAAACCTCTACAGTATGGTGATTAATTTGACTTGACCAATCTATAATGCAGATTAAAGTCACCCATAATAAAAAAGTGCTCCTTTACTACATGCATCTCTGATTTCCTCTTTAATACCATTCACAACGTCACCACTACAGTTTGGTTGTCCATAGACCACTCCCACTAGTGTTTCCCCCACCCACCTCTCCAACCTTGGTATTTCTCAATTCTACCTACACAGATTCTACATTGTCTGAACTAATATCATTACAATATTGTTAAAGAGGATGTAAACACAAAGTAAGGCAACTCCACCACCTTTTCCTTTTGCCCTTCCTAACGTTCAGTTCCCATTCCTGGTCATCCTACAGCCATGTCTCCACAGTCTCAACCATCCCCGTTGTTTATATCTATTTGGGTGACTAATTCATTTGCTTTATTTCGAATGCTCCGTGCACACATGTTGTTCCCAGAGGAGGAGGAGCACACCACAGTTTTGAGCTCTCCTGCCTTTACTTGGTTTTAAATTAAGCGTTTTGGAAGATGCTCAATATTAAATAATAACTTCGAGGGCCTTTCTTTCCTACTCCTTCTTACTACAGAACACAGCCCTTTGAAACTATAAACCACAAAAAAACCTTACAAATTATAAGAGAAAAAAGTTGTAAGTAACCGACCTGACTTTACCTACTACTAACCGAATTATGAAAGTTATAAGAGAATAAAATCAATGATCTTAAACAGATTGAGACTGTAAATTGTTATTACTGGCATCAAGCCACACAGAAAAAAACACTGTTAAACTTTGAAATGAGAAGTTTTTTCGCGTATAACGTTAGTTTAGAAGCACTGAATCGGTGTGAACGGGATAAAAGCTTCACTGTTCCTGTGGCAGTTCCAATCCTACCAGAACCTTTCGAGGCTAATAGAATTTTTTTTAAATTTAGCCCCCACTTCAGTCCAAACCAGCCAGAAGGCAGTGATTATTATGGGATCGATCTATGAAGTTACAGAAAGGAATCGCTCTTATTGAATTGCGAGAAAAACCACAAACCGTGACAACGAGAATCCACGAAAGGGGCATTTTCCTCATGTTCTTTGCGACTGTATTTTCAAAATTAGGAAGTGCGGCATCTCCAAGGCCTGAAACACGTTGAAATCTGCGCGCGCACGCACGAACGTCAATGTTAGCAAACAACACAGCAGGTTAGAGGAGCAACAAAATTGATTTTTCGGATCGGAACCCTTCTTCAGAAATGGGGGGGGGGGGGAAGAGAGGTCTGAAAAAAATAGGGGGGAGGGGTGGGGCTGGGGAAGGTAGGTGGGATGGTGATAGGTGGATGCAGGTCGGCAGTTTCAAAATCTCCCCACCCCTGGCCTCATCCTATGACTAACCCTCCTTCTCATCCCCGCCTCCTTAACCTGACACTGCATGTCCACTTCTTTTCCACCTATCCGCTTATCCCCCCTCACTGACCAATCCCCACCACTCCCTACCTGCACTCACCTATCACCATCCCACCTACCTCCCCCAGCCCCATCCCTCCTCTCTCTATTGGTTTCTGAGCTCCCTTCCCCCTCCCCCATTTCTGAAGAAGGGTTCCGACCTGAAACAGCAATTTCCCTGTTCCTCTGATGCTGCCTGACCTGCTGTGTTCCTCCAGTTCTATTGTGTTATCTCTGACTCCAGCATCTGCAGTTCTTACTATCTCTGAGCCCAGTCTCTAACCTGCTCTTACAACTACTGTATTGTTATGGCGAGTTTAATTGAACTACTGGTCAGTGGTAACCCCAAGGAAGTTGCTAGCATGGATTCAATAATGGTAACACCATTGATGTTTAGATTGTTCCTTATTGGTGATGGTCATTGCCTGGCACTTTTATGCCATGAAGGTTGTTTGGTCTCAGAGAAAAAAAAGACAAATACAAAAGGAGACTCCCAGGTTAATTTTTCTGACAGACTGTTCCAGAGATATGGGAATAAAGTTGCCTGTTAAGGGACAGGCATTCAAAACAAGGGACAATCCCTTAAATACAGGACAGCCAGTTACTCCGGAGCCCACTGATAGGCTGCCAAATTCCTTCCCACAAACTTGAAATCACACTTTTAGGCTGAAAATGCTGGAACTTCATTGAGTGTGTTTCTTACAGTTCTTCATGAGGGAAACATTGTTCAATATTGATGTACATCCACATGATAATTAGTTCTTAGCTCTTTATGAATACAATGTAATATACTTGTTTGTTTTAAAAACGTTTCCATACCAATAACTGTTCCAATCATTAATTTTCTTTACTATAGTAAAGACGATTGAGCAGTTGAACACTTTAAGAGCCTTCAATAGTTTCTTTTCTCAGAAAAACATTGTTCACAGTAACACTACAGTGATCAGATGTTGTGCCTCTGTCATGTTGACATGACATTCATCGCTCTCAATGGTGAGGTGAGTTGGTACACTGCACAGATGATGGTGTACCTGTGGTGTTGGAGACCTACTTGATGTTCCAGTGCATGTTGGTGAAGCTATTGATGTTATTTTACTAGTTAGTCATGTTGTTCCTGGTGAGGATGACCTTTACTGCTTTTCCAGTTCAGGTGTAGGTCAAACATGAATTCTGTTCTTTCCCACTTGCTTATCTGTTTCAGTCTCAATGATGTATGTCCTTGGAGTTAGCTTCAGCTTTTTCTGCACATGCACAGTTTGTCCTTTCAGCAACTCAGGCTGTGGTTGACATGCAAGTTGTTAACCTCGAGATGATGAACTGGAGGGAAGCAAAAAAACAAGGGACACTTGGCTGGAAAGCAGTGGGTGTTGCTGGCAAGGCTGTAGGAGCAGGCAACACCCCAGCCCTGTCATCAGAATATCCCCACTCCAAACATCCAGCTGCCAAAATCAGAGAGCTCTATAGAGAGGAGAATGCTGGCCAGTGCTGCTGCTTTCTCATAGCAGGGTGTCTGTGCATAGGCATTGTATGCGTAAACAGTCTGAGCAGTTTCCTCATTCACTGCAGGAGATAAATAGATTCCAAAGAAGCCCATTCCCAGGATATGGGACATCAAGTTGACTTGGGGAGGTGTTCATTGCAAGGTTTTCAATAGGTTACTCAGGGCAGATGAGAGTCACTGGACAGCAGTTCAAAAAGCAGGGACTGGCAGTCAGTGAATTGCAGAGAGAGAAGTTGGAAGTGTAGGAAACCGAATGGTTCACAATAATTCCCAAGAGCAGTTGGATACTTCTGTGCTGTTAGAACTCAGGCCAAGTTCCAGGAGTTATTAGGCAGTTAGGTGTTGAAGTCAGGGCTCAGGAAATGTCCTGGGAATTGTGGTGGCTCACAAGGAGTGGTGGGCTACTAGTAAATTAGTGTAGTTGAAAGTGGTGCTTGAAAAGCCTATAATCAATATTTACTTAATGCAGCTGTGCAAGATTCGAGCTCAGAGTAAAGCACAAGTAAAGGTCTAGGCTGGTGAAGCTAGTGGGTGAAAAGCTCAAGTTGTGCAGGTGAAGAAATACCAGAGGGCCGTTTCTGGAGTCTAGGAAATGTGGACCCAGGTTAGGAGGGTGATTGACTAGAACTGAAGTGGTCATTGAGACAGTCCAAGGCAAACCACTTCTTGAAAGAGGGTTTCAAGGCCAGATCAGCAAAAGTGAAGAATTGTAATCTTTAGTGAAGTTGAATGAGATTTGATGACCCACTGTCATTTGTGTCTGGGAGAAGTTGTTGAGAAATTCATGGCATCTGTCTTGATTGTATTTTGTATTTGATGTGCAGTATGAGGTATTTGATCATAGTCTACTCCTCATGTTTACCACATGTTAACCAGATGTTAATTCTGGACTTTAGAAGAATGTCATATATGTATTACTGTTTTAATGTTGTATTTGTAAAGTACACTGTTGTATGACATATAAAGCTAAAGAATCATTGATCTTTCTCTGTACTTTCTCTGTAGCTGTAACACTATATTCTGGATTCTGTTCTATTACCCTGACGTACTCATGTAAGGCATGGTTTGTCTGGTTAGCAAAACAATACTTTTCACTGTACATGTGACAATAATAAATCAAATCAGATCAAATCCTTTGGATTTCACCTTTCATCAAGTTTAAAAATAAACAGTTATTGATCCAAAAGCAAATCATAACAGAACTGGTGATCTCGTCTGGATCATAAGATAAAGTTGGTGGTCTGGTCCGAGATCAAAACAATTCCTAATACTTTCTTCCATTTTAACAATTTTTCAGGTGGTTTCATATTAGGTTTGAGACGTGTGGATTGGAGTGACAATAAGGCACAGTTTGTGTCTTCCTTTGTCTCTCAGTGTTTCACTTGTGTGGAATGAAGACCTAAGGCAGCCTGGACTGCTGGAGAATGAAGGATCATGGCAGCTGCCACAGAAGCAAGGACTCAAGGGTAAACTCTCACTGTGGCTACTGACCAACTGAACATTCGTGGAGGAGCACATTACTGCAGATGCTGGAATCTGTACTGAAAACAACTAATGCTGGAGATCTCAGCAGATCAGGCAGCATTTATGGCGAGAGAGCAGGCTAAAGTTTTGAGTCTAAATGACATTTCATCAGAGCTGATATGAAGTGTGCAGCAGGCAGCATTTATGCTACAGTTGGGGGGGTGGTGGAGTGGAGAGTGCTGGGGGAGAAAAGATGTTGATAGTTCAGATTAAGTGATCACAGACTTCAAGCTCGAGCATTTCCTGTTGATGAGCCTCACTGAGCAGTCACTAGGCCCCTTGATGGTCACATGGCTGCGATCAATGATATTCTGGACCTGGTGAAACCCACTGCCCTCTGAGCCTGGCAGGCTGCATCTATCTGGAATTAAATGTGCTGTCCAGCTTTTGCAAAGAGGACATCAATTGCCAGTGGTGTGCATAGTGTTTGCAAGGTTCTTTTCTGCTCCTTGTTAGGAGTCAAAGGTGAAGCAGCTCAAGGCCACATTGAAGCTGACTGACAAAGCATGGCAAGCTTCACTGAGGTGAGGTCTTTGGTGATGAGGGCAAAGATGTCTATAACCGTTTCCTTGGAGAGTCTCCTGGAGTACTGGGTCTCCATTATCTGCAAGTAGCTCTGTCTTCAGTGATGGATCCAGGGTTGTGAGTATCAGCTCAATTTTCTTTCTGTCCTTTGTTTCTCTCCCCTGCCCACCTTCTGTCTGAGATTTTGCTTATCCTGTGGGGGATTTGCTTTTCAACACAACTGAATACAAAATCTGAGAGTTGGGCATCCATTGCCAGCTGCTGCCATCCTTGTGTGCAGGTTGGTTCCAGATGTGCTTGGAAGCCTTGTTTCCTCCTGTTATATCCTCCTGCAGTGCTGAGAGGCTAATAATCTCCGGCACTTCCTGTGCATTTACAGACCAGCATCTACACACCCAATGCCACTTATCTGCTAGCAGCCAAGGCACTCTCTGTGGCAAAATTTCCAAAGAATATAGGTGCTTCCTGAAGTTAGATGGCTTTGAATTCATTCCCATGCCCAGTCAAAGTTAAATCCCACCTTTTCCTGCTTTAAATCAGGCTGTTTTGCCTCAGTCCCCACTGAAATCTGGTTATAAGGAGAAGACCCAGTCAGCTCCTGGCTCTCCATGCAAATAACGGATTTGGTGTTAACAAATATCTTTACACTTTAATGGATTGTCAGTGTGGATATTCATTGTCAGATTGATGTTACACTGTTTAGGAAATATGAACTCTGGACCCCACACAATACTCTCAATGTATTTTCAAACTTCTCTACCCACCTCACCCATCCTTATTTTCTGTAATCACCTCCAGCCCCATAATGGCCTCAGAAATTTGCACTCCTCTTTTTCAACACTCTGATACCAATATTCTGTATAAATTAAATATAGAACAGTGGATGCTGGAGATCTGAAACAAACAAAAACAGAAATTGCTGGAGAAACTCCGCAGGTCTGGCAGCATCTGTGGAGAGAGAGCAAAGTTAATGTTTTGAGCCCAGTGATGCTTCTTCAGAATTGGACTCGAAACAGTAACTCTGTTTGTTTCTCTCCACAGATGCTGCCAGACCTGCTGACTTTCTCCAGCAATTTCTGTTTTTGTTTGTTTTTGTATAAATTATTGCCCCCTGCTCTCACCTGATCCCATTCTTGTCTACTTAAACATAGAGAATCACTCACAATGTCTTCTCTTCCTGCTCCCATTCCCTCTGGTGTTCCCCCAAGGATCTATCCTTGTCCCTCTTCTATTTCTCATCTCCATGCTGCCCCTCAGTGAAATCATCCAAAAACACAGTGTTAATTTTCACATGAATGTTGACCAAACCCAGCTCTACCCCACCTCTTTCTCAACCCAAATTAA